CACAAAGTTGATCTGTAAAATAAAAAAATAAATGCAGATTAGTGTTTGAAATAATTAATATTTATAAAATAATTACTGCGCACATTAAACTTTATATTCGTTTATTTATGCACACGTCTAAACAAAGAATTAAAATTTTCAAAAATATATTTTTTAAATAAAAAAAAGTTTAATTAGTTGAAATAATAATATGTAAAAAATTTCTAAAAATGGTAAATATTAATTTACTATTATAAATATTTTACTAAATATTTAAAGTATTTTAAATATTTTATATCCGCTACATTATATAATATTTTATATGTAATATTTTGCGAATAACAAATAAATGAATTATTGCTTACCGTAAAGTTGCTCCGCCGGCGCCCGATGCTCCTCCTGAGCCTCCTCCTCCTCTCAGTGGTCCTTTGAAGCACTCACATTGAATCTCACGCGTTCGCGGCGTATGCATTGCTCGCATGCGTACCTGAATACGAAAATCGCGCGATACTTAAAACGGCACTCCCGACATCACAGGTGAATCGAACCGAATTGTCCAAGCTGTGACGTTACGCGCGAATTCCGTCCGCGTTTCAGACGACCACATTTACCAATTGGGGCACGATTCTCTCAAAACAGAAGGCAAAGATAAGCTCGAAGAAGATGAGGTGATTAGTCATCCAATCAACGGACTAGATACAAGACATCTGAAAAGCAATCGGTAGCGTTTGACTAACTCCGGTAGCCGTCCTCGACTACCTTTGACAGTCCGGCTATCTGTACAACTAGCGCGCTGCACGTAGAACCGAAGATTGCCCTGCCGTAGTGGAGATTTTATGATTGAAACCGACCTTTCCCTCCCCCGAGCCAAGCCTAAAGTCAAAAAAATCGTGTCCCAATATTTGTCATACAGCAAAAATGCGTTCATCTATAGATTCGCTATAACCCTCGGCATTAACGGCACTCCCGACGCGCATTTTGTTATACTATACGACGGAACGAATATATTTTGTAGCACCGATTACGCGCACAAAGTTGATCTGTAAAATAAAAAAATAAATGCAGATTAGTGTTTGAAATAATTAATATTAATAAAATAATTACTGCGCACATTAAACTTTATATTCGTTTATTTATGCACACGTCTAAAACAAAGAATTAAAATTTTCTAAAAATATTATTTTTTGAATAAAGAAAAAAGTTTAATTAGTTGAAATTAATAATATGTAAAAATTTCTAAAAATGGTGAATATTATTTTACTATTATAAATATTTTACTAAATATTTAAAGTATTTTAAATATTTTATATCCGCTACATTATATAATATTTTATATGCAATATTTTGCGAATAACAAATAAATGAATTATTGCTTACCGTAAAGTTGCTCCGCCGGCGCCCGATGCTTTTCCTGAGCCTCCTCCTCCTCTCAGTGGTCCTTCGAAGCACTCACATTGAATCTCACGCGTTCGCGGCGCATGCATTGCTCGCATGCGTACCTGAATACGAAAATCGCGCGATACTTAAAACGGCACTCCCGACATCACAGGCGAATCGAACCGAATTGTCCAAGCTGTGACGTTACGCGCGAATTCCGTCCGCGTTTCAGACGACCACATTTACCAATTGGGGCACGATTCTCTCAAAACAGAAGGCAAAGATAAGCTCGAAGAAGATGAGGTGATTAGTCATCCAATCAACGGACTAGATACAAGGCATCTGAAAAGCAATCGGTAGCGTTTGACTAACTCCGGTAGCCGTCCTCGACTACCTTCGACAGTCCGGCTATCTGTACAACTAGCGCGCTGCACGTAGAACCGAAGATTGCCCTGCCGTAGTCGAGATTTTATGATTGAAACCGACCTTTCCCTCCCCCGAGCCAAGCCTAAAGTCAAAAAAAATCGTGTCCCAATATTTGTCATACAGCAAAAATGCGTTCATCTATAGATTCGCACGGCACTTTAAACGGCACTCCGCGTTTTATATTACTGCGAAATTACAGCGGAACGATGTTACAATAATTTTACGATATTTTAGCCGACACTCCCGACGCGTATTTTGTCATATTAGGATGAAAGTTAAACTCGAATATCGCTCATCGCACGGAATACGCGTTCGACACGCTGCCATGTACGCAACAGGTAATGGTAGAAAGGGGGAGGAAGGTGAAAAACTGTGAGAAGTAATAAGAATTGGGGGTAGTTGGGGGGGGGGGGGAATAACGCGCCGATACGCGAACGGTCTGCCTCGTTCAAGTGCCGCCGTGCGAATAGTAACAATTCATAGCAAGTATTCATTCGTATAAGGTCGTGTCCAGTGATGCCAATTCGAGCTCGCTGGTACCATGGGTACCGTAGTGGAGGGGATACGCACCGTGTGCTTGCCGAGCCACACGGACATGTGACGTCAGCGATTTCGTCTTGTGTGGGTATCCCCTCCACTACGGTACCCATGGTACCAGCGAGCTCGAATTGGCATCACTGGTCGTGTCGAAGGATTCAAGTGTGATTTAGGAGTAGGGGAAAGGAATGTGCGTGCCGATAACGCGTGCGAGAGAGAAAGCGTGGAAGCGAGGGAGAGAGGACATAGAGCACGTAGGCTACAGAGCGTATGTAAACAACCCCACCAAACCTTCCCTTGCCGTGAGTGAAAGAAATTCCTAATATGATACATATTTTCCACATTATAAGATATTCTTTGGCGTTCAGAGTTTTAATTTTGATAAATAATTTACTATTTTATTTTTTGCCTACTATCGTATCGTATTTAAAAAATTTTTATCTGTAGATTTGTCAGCGTAACACGGACATGAACCAACCAGGACTCTTTTACCATTCCGGAAAATGGATGTGGCCATGTAGTTCCAGGCAGGCTGTAAAATGGATGTACGCGCCGCTAGTGTACGATCTAGAAAAAGCGTCTTACAAAAAACGGCAGCGTGGCCTCTCTCAGGTTTCTCTCTGCTGTAACTATTGTTATGTCAAATAGCGCTTTCGATTGAAGCGTGTTCGATTCAGAGTTGATTAATGACATTTGATTGGCGGAAACAATGCAAAAACCATTGTCCGCTTCGAAAGCGCTAAAAGTATTTGTTTCAAAAGCATGTTTTTCTGTAATAATCCCATTCGCACGCAAATTGTCATAAATTTGCTTCTCACAAATAAAAAAATAATATTAAAGTGATAAAAAATGAATTACAATCTATAACATTTATTATATTATGTTGTACAGTAAATTAAATCTTAGTATTATGTAGATTTTAACCATTTACAAAGAACGTTTGCACGATATTTTAAAACCAGCCGTGTTTCTTAATTATAATTTAAATGAAAGCGTATGTGAATTAAGTTAAAACATACAGTAAATTAAGTTTAGGTAGAAAGTTACAAAAAATCCTATTATAGTATCACTCACATACATATATTAAAATTATACATCAAAACAGCGTAGATACAGATTATAAACTTAGTTTTGTTTAGTACATTATATTTTTTATGAATGATAATGATATTAATATATATTATTAATCAGTTGTGTTTGATGAGATGGTATTTATGACGTAACGTTAGAAGTCACTGACGGAAGTAGGTCAATATTAGGAGTAACACTAAACGCAGCTACGAATACATTGATAATCGTTATCAGAAAGATTCCTACTACAACGTAATTGTTGATTCTTTCAGCGTTGATACATTTCGACTTTCCCTTCATGTCAAATCGGCCCTTGAAAATTAAACTAACACCAACGGTGACCTAAAATATATATAATGCATATAGTAATTTTCGTTCACTCCAAGCGCAATTCTATCTTTTAATATCTTATAAATTATCATAAACATATATATTTCTTGTTCTACTGTTTCAACAATCTATCTTAGGGAGAATGTATGCTGTATTTGATCTAACTGTTAATGCATATTTATTTTTAAAAAATTTGAAAAGTTTGTTCAAACAAAAATTACTTTAAAGTGTGACGATATAAATTTATACATGAAATTATTTATTCTTCAAAATTATTTCAAGAGGAAGTATTAAAAAAATACAACACTTTGTTTAAATATCTTTGATTCTGAAAAATAGGAATTTATATATTTTTATAGTATAAATTAAATACTTATATATATATATATAAATTGAAACTGATAATGAACGTATAAATAAATATTCTTTATTACCTGCAATAACAGACTGATGATAATCAGAATCATAACAACATAAAACGTAGGGCTGTTTTGCTGATATTCAATGAGATATCTCAATTGATTTGCATTAGCCGTTATGAGCGCGATATCCATCATGCCCTGTGCTACAGTTTTCTTGGCCGCGAAGGTGTTCACCTGCCTTGTATTATAATTCTGGCCTCTCTTGCCCATTGCGTCAATAGACTCTTTCTTCGCAGCATCCTCGTTTACTTCTTCCTTAATCGATGTAGGATCATTCACAATATCTTTGGTCATCTCTAGCTCGTCTATCCTGCTGTCTGTCTTGTCGTCCATTTTTTCCTTTTCGCGATTTTTCGCACATTAATCCACTCGTCCACTGTATTACAGATCGGTAAAAGCATTCATAAGATCTCTCACGACAAAGAACATACATGGTGCAATAAATAAATCAGAAAATGTTTCATATTTTCATGTTTTTATGTTACTGATTCAATTATTATCTATTCTCGAATTTAAGTCTTATGTTAGTGAAATGTTTTATTCTAATTTACTTTTTAATAACTTTACATTTTATGAATATTGTATTATATAACAATAAAATTTTTTTTCCTAAATTTTATTGATGCAAAAGAAGAAAACTTACATGAAAGAATGAATGTTGTTGAATCGCGCGAAAATGTGATCTACGCGCCTTCTAAAAACTTAATGTTAGAGTAATGTTGATGCTGCTTATTATATTATGCACGATGCTTTGTGTACTACCGGTGAAGATTGATTATCACACAATGCAACGTGAATCAGAGCAAAAGAGTTTATACCGAAACAATGATGATAAACTTATCATAATAGTATTCTCTGACCGGAAGCAAACCGCAGAGCAGTGGTGCATGAAGACAGCAAAGGCAAATATTAGCATCTAATATTAACAAACATACTGAGTTTATTAATTCTTTAATTAGCTAATATGTTCTTCGCTTTCTAAAACATTTTCTGTATTAATTGCAACTAATTATCAATCGTTTGTATGATTTTTTTTCTACATTCTAATACAATTGTCTCTTATCTTATTCTTTATCTTATATTTATCAATTTCTGAGATTTTTATAAAGTACTAGATCGTCAAGTTATTGTCATATTAGTATATATATCAAGAATCTCAAGAAAAGAATATACGCAGATCTAGAAATTTTTAATTCAATTTTTCATTTCCAAAATTAGACATTTTATTCTAATTTGATATAAATAGAATTGGATTTATTTTAATGTAATGCTGCTATCTTTTCAAGAATGCATTAGTTACTATTCATCGTCGAACGAGAGCTTATGTCTGGATTGCATAATTTGTGGAGGCTAACGTTATCTGGAATGATGTTTTTTTTCTTCAATTTTACAAACATATGAACTTTCGAACGAAACTCTCGTACAGTTCATCAGTGAAATATAGATAATAATGACCGAGGCGGTACCACAAGTAAGAGTTTAATTCAATTATGATAATTCAGTAATATTAAGTTATTTATGATATTCCACACGATTGTCTATCAATTCTCAGAAATTTTATTTTTTACAATCGCGGTAAAATACACAATGCACGTTTATCATTGCGCCATATGGTGCAAACAAAACTTTTATTGTAAATGCTTTTAGAATATGTTTATGATGTTTAAAAAATGCATTCTTAATATAATTTGATTTTACGTGCCGAAAAGAAAACTTGCCAAAAACTCTGGGGAGGTCGGTTTGCCGAAGATGTTGACCCCGACTTTCATAATCTAAATAAATCAATCGATATCGATAAGAGAATGTATGCCGAGGACATACAGGTGAGAAATACACATTAGCCTTTGTGTGATAGAGCATGATGGAGTATGATAAGCATGTGTTAGGTTTGCAAGATAAACTTTATCTTTATAGTAGTATCATTCTTAATATTACACAAATAAATTCTAGTTAAATAAAAAGTTTCTCATGTATCAAGTATAAATATTGTATTTAAATAAAAATTTATAGAGAAAAAGAGACATTCTATGGTCTAGTCGATGAAAGTAATAAATAAATCTTAGGAAACTTTCTAAAAAATTACACTAATAAATCTATCTTGCATTTTAGGGAAGCATAGCTTATGCCCGTGCTCTCTGCAGAGCGAAACTCCTCTCTTTGGAAGAAACGCAAAAAATAGACACAGCCTTTAAACAGGTATTATTTTTTATAATAATGTTAACGTTTATATGTAAGACTAAATAAAAAGAGAAATCTTTAAATAGGTGTTAGCCGAATGGGACAATGGCGAGTTTATCATAAATCACGAAGATGAAGACATACACAGCGCTAATGAACGAAGACTTTCGGTACGTTTATAGCAGTATAATTGATCAGTTTTGAAGAATTTTGTTTTAATCAGATATGGAATAATGATATTACATATATGTGTGTGTGATTTAATTTTAAACAGTTGTAATAAATTTGAAATTTCAAAAATAATAATGTGAATAAATTCTTGTCGCTATTATCATGATAGTCTCTTCAAATAATATATCGATTTCAAATTTATTCTTTTAAAAACTCCTTATTTTATATATTAATTAAAAATAATCAATATTACGGTTGTTAAAACGTGCAGGAATTAATTGGTGATGTAGCAAAAAAACTACATACTGGAAGGAGTCGCAATGATCAGACTGTGACAGATACCAAACTATGGCTGCGAAAATCCATCGACAAGCTTTCGTTTAGATTGAAAACATTCATCGAGGTAAATTAAAAAAAACTATAATATTCCTAATATAATATGAAAATTATTGTGGTCGATTTTCTGTACCAAATATAACGCTGAGTATAAAGTTTCTTATCTGAAGACAGAAATTTTACTAAAATTTAACGCGCCATCAATCTTGAAAAAATAGGTCCTTGTAACTCGAGCTGAGCAAGACATAGATATACTTATGCCTGGATATACTCATATGCAACGAGCACAACCTGTCAGGTGGAGTCACTGGTTACTTAGGTACAGCAATCTATTTCTAAATTTCACAAGTTTCATTTCATGAATACGATAAGCCTCATTCGTGCCTTTCATTTCCAATGTTGAACATTCTATTTAACTGTATCTAATAATTTGGCATCTCTCACTATCTAATAAATTAAATATAAAGCATGCTGAGATTACATACCATTCACAATCATCTGGGCTTCAATTTTATTAATTTCTCAAATCTCGTAGTTACGCCTGGTATGCTAAAGAAGATTTAGAAAGACTACTGGAGGTGCGTAAACGAGTGAACATTTTACCGCTTGGCAGCGGTGCGATAGCGGGGAATCCTTTTCCAATCGATCGTAGTTTTCTGGCCATCGAACTTGGTTTCGACAAAATAACTGAAAATAGCATGCATACTGTTGGAGATAGAGATTTTGTCGGTACGTTTTACAAATTCAATGTGCGTTTCAAATAAAATTTAATGAATAATATATTACCTAATAGCAATAATGAATTAAATCCGCTTTTAAGCTGAATTTTTATTTTGGTCCTCGTTATCGTCGGTGCATCTGAGCCGTTTTTGCGAGGATCTGATCATCTATAATACTCAAGAGTTTAATTTCATCCAATTCGCCGATAAATATTCCACTGGTAGTAGTCTGATGCCCCAGAAGCATAATCCGGATTGCATGGAATTAATACGTGGAAAAACTGGCACTATATTAGGCAAAGTTGGTAGCTTTTCATTAAAAAAATTATAAAAAAATATTTTGAGAAGTGTAATAATACTTCGGTTACTTTTAGTGCGTTGGCTTTATGACAACGCTGAAAGGAATTCCATCAACGTACAATAAAGATCTTCAGGAAGACAAAGAGACAATATTTCATACATATGACATCTTGTATCAGATGTACCATATCGCTGAGAAAGCTTTGGCCACTCTGAAAATAAACAGAAATAGTTGTAAGAATGCCTTGACATCTGATATGCTGGCAACCGACATGGCATATTATCTTGTTAGAAAAGGTGTAAGTATTTTTAATACTTAAAAGTTTTACTGATCCTTATTTAATATATTTTATATATTATCTCTAAACATAATACTTATAAACCTCATTTAATACACGTAAGAAATTAATTGCTCATTAACAATAATATAATGTAATCGAAATATAGATACCATTTAGACAAAGTCATCATCTGGTTGGGGAAGCTGTCGCTCTGGCTGAATCAAAAGGAGTACCATTGTCAGAATTAACTGTACCACAACTAAAAACAATAAGGTATAATCAAGTTTTTTTGGAAATAAAAGTTTTACTTAGAAAGAACATTTTAATTTTGAAATATGGCTATTTTAGCGAAGTATTTGAAGAAAGTATATCGAGCATTTGGGATTTCAACCTTAGCGTGGATCAATACACAACTGTTGGTGGTACTAGTTTTAAAGCAGTGCAACAACAGATTAATAGTTTACGATTTTGGTTGCGTAAACTTTCGTTTAAAAAATAATTATGTGACATAATTTTCTTACCTCTCTTAAATTACCTCCCAGCTTTGATAATAAAAAAAAAAAAAAAATTAATCTTTTTCATAGTATAATTTTTCGAACTATTAAAATGTGCAACTTTTTACATAAACATTATCGCTACAAAAACTAAAGTTAGAAACACGCAAAATTAGTGATATATTAAATTCTTTCCGATTAGAATGTTATTAGAATATAACCTGTTTAGCACTACATTTACAAACAAAATTATGTGTTAAATATGTTTATTTAAATATCATATGTCGGAAATTTAGCTAAATGAGGTTGTTGTAAGTCTATCAGAAAATAAATAACACCCGCAAGACCTGAAAACAAAAATAATAAGTATATATTATTACGTAAAATATTGAAAAATAATATACATGTGCTAATTCCTAGATTATCAATTGATTTACCTTCAAACAAAGAAAAAGGTCTATCAGGTGGTTGGTTTTGACGTGACCCATAATGGAAACACCATTCGGCAAATTTGCAAGCCCGATACAAATGTTTGATATCCTGAAGTTATTAAAATATTATTTAATCCTTTAAACGATTATGGCTTAATTATTCTAATGAGATATATTCCAATTTCTTTTAATACATAGAGATATAGATATATGAAGGTTTGAATCAAATTATTTTAGTACATTTGAATTTCAAATATCATTGCTGTTTAATATATAAGAAATGAACAAACCTTCGTGTGTTGAAATAAATGTATAAAAGCATATCCATTTCCAGCAACGCCATGACAAATGCTATATCCTTTTCTCAATAATCCTCTTTGCCATATTACTTCCCCACATCGTATCGCAACTTCCAAAAATGTATTATCTTCAAAAACCTGATTATCAATAGCATTATGAAAAATTAATTAAATTAATTTATTTATTTAATAAAATATTTTATGGAGTTAATATTACCTTATGAGCCAAACAAAACAATGCAGGCATTCCAGGTGCTCCATGACACCAATGCACTAATTTGTCCGAAGAGCTATCCAATGAAGAAGGAAAATTTCCAGAAGAAAATTGTAATTTTTGAAGATAGTGTAAGGATGGCTTTATATAATTATCAATTTGTACTTGTGTTAAATATTGTCGTGCCTAAAAAACAAAAATTATTATTTTTAAAAATTATTATTCTAATAACTTAATTATTTTAATTATTAAATAATTTTTAAAAAATCTTTGTAATACAATGAGTACCTGCAATAGTAAATATAATATGCCTGCTAATCCATGAGCAGCACCAATATATTCTGTATCATACCAAGAGTACATTAGAGGTGATTGACAACGATTTGATGATGCATATGCTATTCCAGAATCAATTATACAAGAAACAATCTAAAAATAATTTTAATATAATCAAGGATTTTATATTAATTTATAGAAACAAATTAATCTGTCTTATACATATACATATATATATGTGTATATATATATATATATATATA